TTATTATTATTATTATTATTATTATTATTATTATTATTATTATTATTATTATTATTATTATTATTATTATTATTATTATTATTATTATTATTATTATTATTATTATTATTATTATTATTATTATTATTATTATTATTATTATTATTATTATTCTTAATAATCAATCTTTGGCTCCATCGAAAGATACATTGCAACTCACATATTGTACTAATTCTTCATATACATAATTCTATACTACGTATTATTTTATAACCACAAAACAAAATAGATTTGTACGTGTCTGAATCCTTAATTACAAGAAGCTAATTAAGCAGGATTCTACCTAACAAAGTCTCCTAATTAACCTGTACTTAATTATATTTTAATTGAAACATATAATGACATTTAATAGTGCAACTCTCATGTGTTTTGATTGTAATTAATTCGTGTTGATTAAGGTTAATATGAAATTATGTTAATAATCCTGTTCTTGATACCTTAGTGGCTTCAATCATAATGGCTTTTTAATAGGGTTTGTAACTTTGTATGGGGTTGTACCTTTTTTTGTGGGACCATCTTTCACCGCCCCTAAACTTTTGGGATAGATGACTTTACAGATCAATATACCTAAGCTTAGACAGTTAGGCATGCGTGGTAAATTAGAAAGAGAAAATTAAGTAAGAGCAAACACAATGGTTAACCACGATTTTTTGGTTATTAGTTATTTTATTAATTTCTTCAACTTTCACTTCACCTATAACCACTCTTATACTCATTTAATAATCAATTAGTGATTAGTTCGGGCGTTGTCCCGGGATATTAATTTTATAGTTGTGCAATTGCTAATTTTAAAGAGCATCTAATAGTTTGTATGTAGTATGTGTCTTCAATATTTTGTAGTATAATTATTTTTTTTTACAAGGTTAAATCATAATTAACAATTAGCCTAGATGGTTAAACAATAACCATTTTTTAAAGAGGTCAAGTATTCGAACCTTCTCATCCACATATTTTTTTCAATATAGTTGAGATTACATGGAGTATTGTTGGTTGTGTGGATGACGTGGCACATTGAGGTGTTGATTGGATGACGTGGCATAATAAGAAATTGAGTAAGTGACGTGGCAAAATGAGGGGTCTACGTGGCGTATATATATTTTTTGAAACGCCTTTTAATATATTAGTATAGATGTGTCCTAATAGTTAACCACAACTTTTAACTTATACATGTTTTTTGAAACGCCTTTTAATATATTATTTATGAAATTTGGGAGAGTACGTACCTTATAGTATAAAGTGGGTGACATAAATAATTCTATGATGCATCATTTGGTTACCATCAAAATAATTAGTTCACTATATACTTCGTATATGTTGATACTTGATATGTATGCTAGTTTTGAGATCTACGAATATGATCACACCCCAATATACGTACCTTCGATGAAATTATACTATGTACTATTACCAAAGAGTCTTTGCCTAATAGTAAAAATCGAGGGTTTGTGTACGATAATACATAGGTTTAATTTCCCTTTCTTACATTTCCTCTGTATAGTAATTTATAATACCCTGTGGCTATACGGATAGAAAAAAATCAACTAATTAACATAAGATAATTTCCGATGGATTTTACGATGTTCATTCTCTTCTAACCATAAGTCAATAATAATTTCCAATAATATACTTGAGAACTCCAACTACTTATAGATGAAATTCACCGGCTGATATAACAATATCGATTCAATCAGCTGATTGTTACTTCACTGCTAGGAACAACTCAAATAATACATCCAAAATTAAACGAGCGAAGAAAATGAATACCTTTGTACTAGTGAAATAATAGTAACGAGGTAATTTTATTCTACCTTGCATTATTGTTTACAAGACTTTTCCTCTATAGGTAGATATAGATGGGAAGACAACCATGAATAATACGTACAAAATAGGTTAGAGTTTCTATTTCCTATTAAAATTAACCTAATCACATGTTAACAAAACCTTAAAAAAATCATCTCCATTAAATATGAAAATTTTGTGGCCGTTCATTTAGTTCAAAGATTAAATTGATGGTGGGTAAGGCTATACTTTAGTTAGGGAGAAAGGAAGAAAAATCTGAATAGGATCTGACGTGGCAAATCAGATCATAAGTGTGCTGATTAGGAAACAGATTGGATCATGGGTCCCACATTTAGATTCAACTTTGGAAAGGGCGGTTCCTAAAGTCTAAAATGATAAAATCTACTGATTGATGATAGCTCTTGAGGAATATACATTTTGAGTGTTTTGTCCAAAATGTACACTTGTTTTCTTTGTTGATTTATTGTTTTCTTTTAAGTGATAGACTAATTAAGTAATTAGGCTTGAATATGACCTGTAATAAATCAAAATTGATGCTTCCTCCGTTTCATAATGTTAATATCATATACTGTTTTGGGCGTTTCAAAAAGATCTACCCATATTAAATATATATTCTATTTTTAACTTTATTTTTTTGAAATTAATTGAATGTGGATTGATGACATGGCTCTAAGTAAGAAAATCTTTACCTTGAATTATACATTATGACTTATGCTAAAAAAAAAAAAAAAAAAACTTAAATAAAGTAAACTAATTATGAATTATTTTGTATTTTAATGTTAGATTCCAAATATTTTTCTTTTTTTATTTTATGTGATTGATTCCATATGGAACTAACATCATAAAACGGAGGGAGTAGAATATAAAACCTATCATGAAATTCAACGATTAGTTTAATTTTAAAATTATCGAGTTTCCACCATGATAAGTAAATTACATATTCAAAATTCATCTAACTTTTATTTCATTTAACGCTGGGTATTAGAGGGTCCATGCCTCATCTTTTAATTTGCCACCTTCATAATTGATAATATGTCTAATTGACGGCCTAGTGCTGATATAAGCTCATGTATTAATGTTTGATTCATGCTTAAATTTTCTACTTTTACATCATAATATGTACAAGTATAGTTTTTCATATATTATTTTTCTTTCTTTTTCCAGTCTGTATTTTTTAGCAAAAATTCCCAAGCTTTATTGATCGAAGAATTAAGTGTAATTTTTTGGGGTCCGCCATCTTGATTATGTACCATTTGTTGATTCTCTTGGTCCCACCTTGAGCACCGGCCGACAGAGTTAAGCTGTTTAATTTGCTTCTTTCTCCATTGCAATTGGTCTTTTGGAAAGTGATCTTCAAGACAGCTTGTAAATGACTTGGATCTTTAATACTCTTGGTAAACAAAATTTTAGCCGTTAATGATGTTGATCAGTATTCTACTCAATTGGATAACAGTCATATACAAAAGTACGGTGTAATATTTTAAGATGTCTGAAATAGTTGTCACATTTTTAAGGTAATAGATAGCAAACTTTCAAGCTGGTAATTGTTTGTGATTGATATCACGGTTCCACCATTATACCCTTATCAAAATCTGAATATTGTGTTATGAAAACACTCCAACTATTGTATAGTTTCTAGGTTAATTGTATGGAGTATTATCCGCTTAATTAAATTGAATTGAATTGATCAATGTTTATGTAACTATTATTTTCTTGTCAAAAAAATAAATATTATTTTCACCTGAACAAAGAGAATGTCATATGTAAATGTGTAATGTCATATGAGGGCGTTAGTTTCATTTTTCTTAAACAATTTTCTTTACTTAAATCATTTCTTGATGAGAATTAATGAAGAATATTTGGTCACCTAATAATGTTAAGGATCTGTGATTTCGTACATGTACCAACATTGTTTGTTACCCCTAAAACATTGATTGTGTCATGCAAGTGTGAAAGATTCTGTCTAACATGTGCATGCAACAGGCACCCTTACAAGCAACTCTAGCTTTTCCAATATTTGTTGTAAATCGTACGTAATTAATTAAATTCTCCAATGAATACACTTGTATATAGTTTATAATAAAGAGAGCAATAAACAGTTCAAATAAAACATAGTATATTTTGCTTGATTATTCATAAAAAATGTTCATACAATTATACCACAAGCTAACAACGACCAAAATTCCCCTATATGTTCATACATAATTAATTAGACAAAAAATCTAATATTTTGAATATAATAATGCAAATAAAAAGACGAATTATTAAGCAATTTTCATCTTATGCTAATATATGACGCATGCGATGTCAAAGTATAATTAGTGCTAGAAAATAAATTTAATAACTGATTTGAAAGGACAAAAAATTCACTAATGCTTAGTAGTTGATTGTAACTCGTCTACATCACTACAGTTTGCGGCTTTCAATTATGTAACAAAATTAAAATGAGTAGAACATAGAGATATGTATTCTTTTTTTAGTGTTCCACCCGATTCACCTTTTGGGCCAATTCGGATTCAGGGATCAATTCTGAGTGATTAGGTTCCAGTCCCTCTCAGTTGTTGTTGCGGGGGATCGAACACGCAATCCTCCCTATCAAGTGCAGTCCCAATCACCACTGCACCAACAATCAATTGATACATACATAGAGATGTATGTCGATCATCATAACATTTGACCTTTATATCAAATCTTCTATTCTTTTTTTCCCATTGGGCAAAGGTAAAAAAAGGTTAAATAAAAACAAAGTAGAAAATCAAGGACATGAAAACCTAATTGCCTACCATTTATATACCTAATTGGTTACACTTAGGCCAAGCAACCCCACTCTTTAATGGAAAAGATGAATGAAAATGATCTGAGCTCCTCACTCCCACCTCCATGTAAAAAAAAAAAAAAAAAAAAACTATAATTTCAAAATTATTTAATTTCTTTTAGAGAAAAAAGAGAATAAAACCTTAATAGAGGGGAAAAAAAATTACAATTACAACTAGACAAGCTAAATGGCCAATTCAATTGCAATATCAGTGATTAGAGGTGTCAATTTGCTAAGAATCTTTTTTTTTTTTTTTTTTTTTTTTTTTTTTTTTTTTTTTCCGGCAGTGACCCCACATCTCTTAGCTCACCTCCCTCTAATTTTAATTAATCTATTCATTTACATGCTGTTAATACTCCTATATATATCCTCTCTTACATCTCATCATCTCATCAATTCATATTCATTTTCTTCTAAGCTTATTATTCTTTGCTCTCATTTTATTTCCCTATTTTTGTTCATTCCATATCCATTTTCATTTCCTACAAATGGCCACTGAGGTATATCTCCTACATCTTTTTTTTGAATCACGACTTTCAATTTGTACAAACATTGTTTTCGGGTGTTTTCGGACACTCTTGAACGTTATTAGAGTGTTAAATACTGGTTTTATAAATGTTAGGCGCTTATATTTGCTCGATTTCTTTATGCATGGTTTTTTTTTTAGCAATTCTGATATTGTTTGATCACTAGAAATTCATTAGTGCTACACAACTCTTATTTATTTATTTTAATGATTTTATCTAGGAAAAGTTCAAAGTTTTTCAATATTTTTCTTCTTCTTGTGTACTTGGTTTTTACATTACAAACTAACACGATATTATATGTTTCAATGATGATCAGTACAATATAAATCAGACAGATCTGATGTAAGGAATTTCATGATGATAGTCATCGTTCTGCTTGATCATTATATTGTTGGATCATCTCATTCAGATTGATAAGAATTCATCATATTAACTATGTTTGGTATAATCACCCTTCTTAAGCACATGTATACAAGTGCTAACAATATCATTAAGATAAACATAAAAAAGGTTATTATAAAAATGCTATGAAAAGAGTTATACACACAAGTTTTAAAGATCTGTTTTTGTGATTGATCATTGCTTTTATATCAACCCATATGCTTGATCATTCAATAAGATGAATTTTTGGTCAAAGGTTTTAAAAGTTCAATTTTTGAAAACTTTCAATAGTAAGTGCTAACCATTTCTATGATAAGCAATTAAATAAATACATGCACTATAAAAGAGAATTTTGTGTGTAAAGATTAATATATATATATATATGAATATTGAGATTTTTAAGATCAATCTAATTTCGGTATGCTTGGCCATTCTATAAGATGAATTATTGCTAGTTATGGCATGAGGACAATTTCCAGCTTAAAGATTGAATTTCAGTGATGTTTTCTCCTGCACGCAGGTTGCACAAAGCACTACATTGCCTGAGGTTCAGGCACCTGCACCAGTTGAGGTGATCAAGACTGAGGCACCAACCACAGAAACCGCAGAAGTTGTAGAAGCACCAGTAGCTGCAACTGAGGCTCCACCTTCTGAGGAAGCACCAGCAGAAGTTGCTGCTGAAACCGTTGAGGCAGCTGCTGAAGTCCCAGCAGAAACCGAAGCTCCAGCAGTAACAGCCGAGCCAGAAAAGGAAGCCGAGGCAGAGGTAAAGGCAGAGCCAGAGGCAGAGCCAGAAGTAGAGAAGAAGGAAGAAGAAGCTGCCCCACCAGCTGAAGAAGAGAAGGCTGCAGTTGAAGAGACCAGCGAAGTGACCCCCACCGAGGCCACTGAAGCACCAGCAGCTGAAGAAGCTAGTAATGTCGAGGAAGAGAAACCCGTCGAAGCACCAGCAGCAGCTGCAGCAGAGGAGACCACCAGCACTGAGGTTCCAGTTGAAAAGTCTGAAGAGTAAACTTGATTAAAAGGGTGTGAGATGGTCTCTTTTTCTCTAAATATTTCTTAGGGTTGCATTTGGGGTTGATCAGTTTTTTATTCTTACAAGAATTTTATTTACTTACTAGTATTACCATTGCTATTAATATTTATTATTTTAATTAATTTTGAGGCAAAAGCTTTGGTTGGGTTTTATTGAAGATCATTATATATATATATGTGTGTGTATATATATATATATACACACATCAAAGCTATTGGGTTATGATGTGCCCTTGCTTATGAATGCTGGGTACAAAGTTTACAACCCAAAGAGCAGGAATTTGAGAGTTTGATATTGTACTGGCTTTGGTAATGGAATAATAATGATATTATTATAATTATAATTTTGAGGTTATATGTGATATATTCTCATTCTTAAATTCATGTTATGTTTTTTGTTTATCACTGGGTAACTCTGTTACGAAGGTTTGATAAATTTATAGAAAAATTAAAGTCTCGAGCATATTTAATTTACGAATGTAATTTACAAATAAGACCTTCACCGAATACTGAAAATAAAGCTTCATGATGAAGAAGATGGGAATAGAGCCCAATGAAGGTTGAAAACCAAAATTTAAGGTTTCGTTGAAACTTCACCTGAGTCAGGCAGCCTGAGTCCTGAATTCTGCAACTATTCAGATTTTTTTTCAATGTTCTGATGATGAGTGAACCGAATGTCAAAACAAGGTTTCAATGGAAAAGAGACTATCGGAAAAGAAAGCTAGAAACCAGGGAAACAACAAATCGAGTGCCCCTGCACCATCATAAGTATGACGATGCAGGCAAGACAAACATAACAACCAACCTCCTATCTGCATCCCGCCACAAGCAGGATCAAGAAAGACCAAGTTTATACATGCCCTTGACCACGTAGTGGTATTTTAACAATACTTCTAAGTTTCAGTTGAGAACTTGAGATTGTCTCACAATACTTAATACTACAAGACAACCACCCAAAAAAAAAAAAAAAAAAAACAAAAAAAATCCTTTGAATTCTAACTCATACTAGACTAGCTAGGAAAATCCAACATTCAAAACTGTAATTTCAGGTTGAAAATTCCAACTTTTAATTCATTCATGAAAATGCTGTACACCAGGGCGTTACAATAAAGCAGCCAGAGAAGTTTCAGAGCGACAAATCTTCATCTGAGTGAACTTTTTACATAAATAGTTTGCAGGTAAGTGTTCATACTGAGTATTACGAAACTTTGTCAAAGCAAGAGCACCAATTCTGTGGCACAAGCTCGCACCCTAAACTTACTCTAAGAAATATGTACAAATTCTACGCCAAAGTCTTCATTTATGTGCAGATCCCACCCCCAAAATCTAGCTTATGTCATCAAAATCACCAGTCACCAAGTGCCAAAGCTGCAACCTATATGTTCTTGGGTGATCAAAAGGAGGCGTTGTCGCATGATAGTCTTTGTTGGATACGGTGGGATACAAATTCGAAAAAAGCATGTATGAGATGAGGGCAAACAATTTTGGGAATCCAAGGATTTGTAGATGCACAGTCGAGATGAAAGACCACGGAAACCCTCAATAGGAAGGTACTTAATTGATGTCCAGAAGAAGAGAAGAGTCTTTTTCTGCTCAGCGTTAAATTGTCCAACCACCTGACAAGATTTACAGAGTTCATAAGTACTTCAATAGACAGCATACAAATTGTGTAACTTGATCAAATTGCATCTAGAAAGGGTGAAGAAACTTCATAATACTTAAATGTTGGCAAATCAAGAAGCAAATAAAACACACACACACACACACACACACACATATATATAGACTAGAACTAGATATTTTTTTTTCAACCTTAATCTCCCGCGATTTATCCAAAATCTTTACCCTCAGAATATTCCATTTTCTTTATTTCATGATAACTTTATTTCCTCAAATGTACAGATTGCCAAAAGATTAAAAATGCTTAGAACCTTATTTCCTTACATCTGCAAATCGCCAAAAGATAATCAAAAACTCCAGACATGTCTTATCCATTTACCAGGGCATATGCCAGAAAACAAAGAATGAGGAGAGAAAAGGGGGTTTGCGATGGCTGAAAGCTACTCTGGTTCCCAAACTGTTCGGAGAAGATTTTCGCAGCATTATTAAAATAAAGTGCTTTAACTAGGAACTTGTCTAAGCCTATCATATTGAACACATGCATAATATAACCCCAATCAATCTCTCATTGACACCCTCCCGCCCTCCACCCCAAGAAGGATAGCAAGAGAGAGGGGGGGGGGGAGGGGGACAATGAGAAGTCTCACACGTACAATAACCAAATCATTTCTATATGAGAAGAAGAAAAATAACACAGTAAGCAGTAATAATAATCAGTATACGTTCTGCTACATACCTCCCAAAACCATTTTATCTGAGGATCAGATTTTTTATAGGCATAATAATCAGTATGTGACTTCCAATCTTCAACACATATCTCACTTTCACTTCCATGCAACATCCAATCAAGATCTTCCAGCTCCAAGCTTTTAAAAAAGGTTTCACGTAGATTTGCTTCAGAAAGAATGTCAGCAAAACCTTGAGCAAAATAAGATACTTGTTCAGAAATAGATGATACAAAGTGATGCTGAACAATAAGGTCAACATATTCCTTCCTGTTCTTGCTGTTCACAGAAATGTCTTTTCCTCCAGGACAGAGTTCTACAACATTCCTTTTCCCCAGCTCTTCAATATCAATACTAAATGTCAGCCCTAAACCATCAGAATCCACAAAATCAGCATCCATCTCCAATATTTGTTTGCAGCTACTATAGATGCAAGGATCTGCGGCCTGTATATCTTCGATGGAAACTTGTCTTCCTGCCAGTTGCAAGAAAAAGATACGATCCAGAACAACACCAACTTGAATTTTATGCTTCAGAGCCAAAGCAATTACCCTCCCTGAAAATAGGAAGTATCGAAGATGTAGAGGATGTACCTTCGATGCTGCACAATAGATAAAAAGAAATGTTAAGAGTAAATATCAGATTTATATTATGGCTTGCCCCAAAAAAGAGGTACTAGAAAAGATTTGAAAAACAGGGAAAACAATTTTTTCCCCACCTTAAGCAAGGAAAGTATAGTTTGCATAAACAGTAAGGAGTAAGACAATAAACAGGCTTAACACATCAAAGCAAAGAAACCAAGCTCAAAGCACTAATTTATCAAACATTGAGCACGCACTTTTTCTATATGTGCTGGAAAATGATACCTTTCAGTAGGGATACATAACAGAGTAGTACTGACTTAATATTTTGATATTAGGGATATGCATGCTATGATGAAAAACCTTTAAGTTTACATGTATTGTGTTAAGATTATCTCTAAGATACTAACAATGTGGAGGTGAGCTACTTGAGTAAAAAAAATGATTCACACTAATGACTCGTGCAAAAGGAAGTTCCCTTCCCCAGTCTCCTGCCTCATTATCTATATTGAGTACTTTCATTCCTCTAGTTTAGTCCTCAACACCCACCATTTTTTCAATGCTTTCCTCAATAGTTACTTTTGAGGAGGCTGCAAAGACCAACTCTGTTTTCCAGACAAAACTTCTACAATACTTTCCAGTATAATACCCAATTTTAGATAAGTTTTCCATTGTTTGGTTGCATGGAAAAATATATTGAAAAGGTTATTCTTTCATTGGAAAAAAATAAGAGAAAAAAAAAAAAAAAGAAAACTAAAACCAAAAGTCACCCCCCTCCATATGACATCAATGTCAACATCCAACTCCTTCACCCCATTAATTGATCAACATCAGAATTCTGCAAGAACCCACCATCTCCATCATATCCACCAACACATATGCTCTAAACTAAATCAAAAGAGTTGCACAAACAGCACAAATCGGATGTTGTTTTGCTAAAAAAATCCTCCGGAGGCAGCTGATGTAATCCTCAAATTTAACTCAGTTATTAGGAGAATATAAGAGAGGGTGAGCAAGCATTGGTCAAGGAATGAAATTTTGGATCTTCCAAAATAAGGGACAATGGTTTTAACAGGATGGAAATACTTTTAAATTCTAAATTTCCTATTTATGCAAACTATCCAGGGTAACATTTTATATCCAACAAAACAGAGCCTTACTTAGCTACCCAGCACACAAGGATACCTATTGATGAAAGGACATGGTGAAACAAAACTATGTCATTCGAACACGTATTTGAACCCCTATTACACCACATCTTCACAATTCAGACCAAATGAAAGAAATTTCAATGTGTCAAATAGTAGAAAATACATATAAAGTTGGGTGTTTTCAAGCATAGACAATCAATCATCTGTGAGCCGTATGAAAAAGGATATATTAACACAAGAAACAGGGACTCTCTCAGTCAGACTTCACTCAGACAGATGCAACACTCCACCACAAAGATATACAATGACCGACAACATTTATACATTGATGTAGCATGAACTTAGTGTGCAATCAATCAATGTGACATAAATTTGCTAGAGTTTTATGACAAGTTTCCTTGTGCTACTTAACTAATGAAATCACAGACAGTCTCTTTATGGAGACAATGTCAGGCACCAATGCTATCAAATTCAATTCATGGTGGTCATTGTTTACAAGTGAAAACGGGAGTGAAAGCATATGAGCTAAGCAGAATTTTTTTATTCCAAATTGCACAAGAGACTACAAACACTTGCCTTGACTAGGGAAGAACCTTCGACGGTCCAAAGGGCAAGATGCAAAAAGAGCTCTTTCTGGATCAAAAATTGCTTGGCATACTAAGCAAAACCACTCCCTTAAAACCCCAGGACCTGTAGCTTCTTCATTTTTGAATTCCATAAAGAGACCAGCCTGCAGTATAGACGGGATTGCAGTAGATATATACTCAAATGATTCAGCCAGCAAATTGGACCTGTCAATCAACATCTCGAGCAATTCATCATAATCTTCTCTCACCTCCGGGAACAGTAACGATACTAAATGCCTCCTTGATTGAAAATCTAGGTCATCTTTATGCTTAAGAAGCCAGCTATGGTCATCAACACGCCTGGCATACCTAACAATAAGGCCACACAGTGCTGTCTTACTTTGTCTCAGTGTGGTCCATAAATGGCCTTCTGATTCTGGGTTTAGTAGAGAAATACTATGCAATTCCTTTAAAATAGCAAGATACTGAGACCACCCGAGTAGATTAGCTTCCACAAACTTTTTTCCCTTCACACCTAAGCAAAGTTCCACTTTTTTAAGACATTTGTCAATCCAACCGTGTAGATCATTGTAAAGATTATTGAGAAGATCATCGAAAAGGTTGATTTCTCCCTTAGCCCGATATGCTTGTTCTCTTCCAATGAAAGTTAACACAGGTTGCAGAAAATTAGAGAAATCGAGCACATCTCGATGCAAAGGCCCAAGGCTGGAATCTGATACAACATTCAGCTTCAAGTCCTGCACCAACCTTTCCCCTACTTCCTTCAAGAGAGGAAACACAGCTCCAATAGGGATCCCATACAACTCTTCAGACCCATCATGACCATACACTTCCTTGAATACATTCGTCACTACAACGTTCACCAGCATTGACCCAAGAGTGCTCCTGCAATGTATATACAGTAAGTCATCTTCCGTCGCCAGCTTCCTAAGCAATTCACAGAACACCAACACCGTCTTAGCACAATAAGCTCTCTCACTCTCAGTCCCTTTCAAACTCTTCATGAAATTCACAAATGACCGAATACATTCCTCCGCACACTCCTGATTCGCCCTCTCATTCGACGCATAAAGCATCACTAAACTCTGAGGAGCACATGAAGTCAAGAAAATCTCACAATAATCACACTTATCAATGCTCCTATTATTATAATCATCGTCGTAATTCTCCTCCTCCTCCTCCTCATCATCATCACCATTATTTGTTCCTTTTATTTTACGAACATCTCTTTTCTTACCATTATTAGCAGGATGATATCTATTATCAAGTGAAAGTGTCATAAAACCCTTCATCTGACTCTTAATCTTATTAGTATAATAAGTAACATAATTCTTATTAATATTTCTACAACTACTACCAATGTCATGAATCATACCGCCAATTACCACCCAAGCTTGAGGATGCCTAGCGCTCCGCATTCTTCCCACCATTTGCAGCCCAGCATCGTTCTGAATGTTGCACTGTTTCAATGTCTGCTCCCGCTGCAACTGCTTACCTTGAAAAATCAATCTTTGCACCGAACTCGGTATCCCCGTAACATTCTGGATTTTCTCGTGCACCAATTCAACTGTATCATCCAAATTCGCGCGCAAAATAAGGGAATTTCCTCCAGAAATCAATTTCACAAAGAATTGTAGCTGATGTGACCCCATCAAATCGCAGTTAATTCCATTCGATTCGCCTCGGAAGAAAAAATTATTACCCTTGGGTAATCCATATTCAAGATGATCATCATGAGTTACGGCTTTTTCCTTGCAATTGGTATTCGAATTCTTGCAAAATTGAGAGACGGGAGAATCGTAATCTTCCAGTTTGCGCTTCAAAGGAGGACGATCAGATTGAAATGGTTGGTTTGTCGGAGTTGTACCGACGGATGACATTGAAATGCAGAATTCAGCAAATTGAATGAGGACGACGACGACGATGATTGATGATTATCATTCGAGAAATTGGGATTGAGAATCAAGAATGATGGGAAAAAAAAAAATCAAGATTACAAACCCTAGAATTGAGAATCGAGAAGAATATAAGTTAGGGTTTAAGAAAATTGGGAATTGGGAGTGATGGAAATGAGTAAAATTGGAAAGAGAGTAAAAATGATCAATTGTTTGGCTGCTGATGCGTCGAGCTTACATGGCAGAGACCAATTCACCAATGACTCAGCTCCCTGGTCACCCTCGTATTAATCCGTGTCATTACGTTACAAAATTTGAAGCCCGTGTCATTAAAAAAACATTTTATTCTATTACGGATATTTTAATTGCCTTGTGAACGTCTAAATGATACGGAGTGCTACTGCTCCCCTGCCCCGTCATAAAAAATGATCCATATAAACAATGATCTATATATTTGTTTATTTTTTTTACGAGAATTTTAATTTTAATTAATGATCCGTTATTATAAATTACATACTAATAGTTTATTTTTCTAAATTTACATCTCACAAATTTACACTCATTTAAAATGAGTTGTAAATCAGAGCTTTTCTCCCAATTCCTGCCTCCGGGAGATTATGTGATCGATTCTCACTCCCGCCCTTTTTTCTAAACGCTTGTTAACAAAGCGCGCGGAGAGGTGTCAAAATCACACCCGACCCGACCCGAAACCGAGCCAAAAAATATCCGATTCAGATTTGGACTCGCGTAGACATAATAATTTATCATGACTCAATTTTAAAAATTGATCCGATCCAATCCAACCTCGTCAGACCTTATCCGATCATCCAAATTGACACCTCTTCATTAAGGTCCATAATTCCGCAAAACATTATCAATCACATGGGAACACTTATCTTTCCCATACTCCAGTCACATCTCACCTTTCTTGTCCTAAAACCCTTAAACCCTAATCAAATCCCCAAAATTAACTCCCAATTTCAGCCATGGAAACACCAAATCAAGCTCATCTTGAAGAACAACAATCATCCTTACTTCCCATTGACATAATCACTCAAATTCTGCTGTATCTCCCTCCAAAACCTCTTGCTCGCTTCAAATCTGTCTCAAATTGCTTCCTTTCTTTAATCAACGATCCAAAATTCATCCTCAGTAACATCAACCTTTCTCTCTCCTCTTCCTCCAATCTCTCTCTTGCTTCTCTTTCTCAACCAAAACCCCATAAACATCTCCATATCCTACACCTTAATACACCAGATTCCTCCACCCCACCTTCCATTTCCAACCTTTCTCTTCCATTTCACCCTAAACACCATGATTCTGACCTTATTGGGTCCTGCAATGGCATTCTCTGCATTTCTAATTTCCCTGATTTCCTGGGTCTTTTCAATCCTACCACTAGAACTTTCCAGAAGATTCCACTGGGTTCTTTTGGGGTCCAAGAGTTCAGGGAGTCTCATTGGGTTGATTTTGGGTTCGGGTTCGATGAAATTGGCAATGATTACAAGATAGTAAGGGTGGATCAGTTGCATAGTGTCAAGCAAGATGAGGGTTTTGCTCCTAGGGAAGTTCAGGTTTATAGTTTGAAGGCAAAATTGTGGAAGAAAGTTGAGAACTTTCCTCATTTTCTCTCTCATCCTAAGTCCCATGGTAATTTCCTCTGTAATTCTTTGCATTGGATTGCTACTACTTCTGATCCTGTTGTGTTTGATTTAACTGGTGTGTTATGGCGTGGGCAATTGGATGATTTTGTTTATGATTATGTAATTGTTGCATTTGATCTTAATTTAGAGAATTTTAGGGTCTTACCTTTGCCTGATTATGAGGAAGGGAAGAAGTTGAAGGTCCCTCGTTTGTCTGCTGGGGTTTTAGGGGAATGTTTGTTTGTACAGGTTGAACATGGGGCCCGTTTTAAGCGTTGTGTTGATGTTTGGGTGCAGAAGGAATATGGGGTGAAAGATTCTTGGACTAAGCTGTTGAGTTTTCGACATGAGGAGATTCGGGGCGAGTTGTTGCCAGTTAAGACCTTGACGTTGTCGAAAGGGGGTGATGAAGTTTTGATGCAGCAAGGGAAGGATTGTTTTTGGATTGAATTGAAAACTGGGAAAACTAGGGATGTTCCAATGGATGGTGGTTTGCCTTTTAAGTTTGGGTTAGTTTGTGGGCATAAGTATACTTTTGGGGCAGTGACTTACGTGGAGAGCCTTGTCTGTCCTGGCTGCCGTGATGGATGCGTAGAGAGTGAGCAGGCTAGCAATGGTGGTAAGCAAGATGATGGAGGTAATAATCTAAGAGCTTTCTGATTTGACTGCTGTTAAAAAACTGCTGATTTTGTCAAAATATGTCCTGAATTGTTAATGCTACTCTTTGTTTTAGTTGCATATTTTCTAAGTGATTGTGAACTTGAGTTGTAAATTTGTGATTGGGTGTTGTATTCTTTATCAAGTACAAAAATAAAAAGATTGGACTTGCCACTTGTTTTAAGCTGGGGCTAAAGATGCTGGGAAGCTTTGAGCAATCTTGAGGGCCACTAGTTTGGTAGATCATGAAGCATAAGATGTGCAACAAATATATGTTACTTGTATTTCATTTTGATAATCATAGTTTTGGCTTCTTTGTTTGTTTTGCGGTTGGTGTTTGATGAGGAGTTTTGATATTGTCGTGGACTTTCCTTCTTGCTAATATAAGCTTGTTTATAAATATGGCTAGTTGACCACCCACTAGTAGCGAAAAAGAGACCTAGGAAACAGGACGATTTTTAGAGTTATATAGCCAACGCCCCGGGCCAATAATTATCTACTATGACCCTTACTATTATCACGTGATTACATGATGAGCACAAATCTGAAAATTTATATAGTAATATGTCATAGTAGCAGCCTATAAGTATTTTTTTTCCTGTGATTGCATCTTGGGGTAGCACATTGCTGTGAAGGACCTTCTTCAACAAAAGATTGAGGTCTTGGAGTGCCTTACAAGTTTCGTATAATGAACACATATTGTAATGGACCTGTATGCTTGTTTATTTAACTTTTGGTGTAGCTAGAATACCCTCTAGGTACCGATAGTATGCACAAGTTTATAAAAATAGAATCTAAATCTTCTATTCCACGTTTATATGTCCCACATTTGCACCAAATATCTTATAGGTTTGTATTGCTAAACATGCCCCATTACATGTTACGTAGTATATAGACTATATTACCAAATATCTTTTGGAGTATTTTTTAATATAATAATAAAATGTATAAAAATGAGTAAAACAATCAAAATGAATGGCATACAACTGATGCATAAAGAATGGGATAGAAGTTTTGTTTATGAAGCAACTCCTGTGATATTGTATACCTTAAGGTGTTCCTCAGTCATTGAGTGGAGTTTATTGTGTTTTTTATTTCTAAACCACTTCTTTTGTTGTTGTTGAAGATTGTTCTTCATAATTGGATTGGGGTAGGTCTTAAGAGTAACGAAAAATTGCACTAATTCAGTAACTATAAACTATTGAATGATGTTAATGCTCAACTTTTATGGGAATATGCTTCATTCTTGTAATCTTATTGCATTATTCATTCATAAAATTCACTTAAATCACCGAGACTACTCAATTCAAATACTCGAATTGCTTTTTGATGTTTATGTTTAAAGTTTTGGACTCTGGTTAATTTAGTAGTCAATACTCAGGTCGTTGGGGTGATTGCTGGGAATTGCTGCTGTGAGTTTTTGAAATTTAATAATGTTTGAGTCAAGTTGTATGATAATTGAGAAGTACTATTTTAACAGTATTAAAAATAAATCTATTGCATGGAGACTGTATAAATCATCTGTCTCATGTTTAATATCCTTTTGACATTTCAGGTGCTGAAGCCAAAAACTGAGGAGTGGATTGCAGCAGCCTTGAATTAGTCTATTCTAACCTTTGTGAAAGAAGCAACAGGCCAACAGCAACGAAAAGCCGGTGTGGTGTTCAACACGGTGCTGTTTGTTATGTTGTAAGCACTAATTCATATCAAACCTGCACTATAGCAATCTGTGACATATCTAGTGGAATATCAGACTTGCATTATGTTAAGCTATTAATATGCTGAGTTTATGTTTTGGACAGGGAGCATATAATGTTGATAGATTAGTTTCATGTTGTAGTCATGTAATGCGATCATATCTACCACTTATTAAGCTATTGAATCCTATTGAGGATTCAATTAGCTGCTAAATGAAAAGAAATTCTAATTGTTCTCAAGTGTTTTCTTGTTTTAAAACTTTACTCCTTTTCAGTCAAGAAAATCTCAATGTACTCATATACTATGCATCCTGTTATTATATATATTGTCCTTTGTTGGAATAAAAGCTCAATCCCTAGGAGTATTTAATCATTACTTTGTTGAAGGACCAAATGAACTCAACTTGGCTAGTCTTTTTTAGGGTTCAATGTCATGCCATAAAAATGCCTAGGATTGCATACATCTGCAAAACCAAAACAGTAACTTGTCTAATTTTACATACAAATATACTTTGATTTATTATCTGAGAGTGCTTATTCAAGGGTCTATCTAACATCTTTGCCTGAAGAACTCAGTTTTGGGTTACAACAGTAATCCATATGATGTATAACTAAAGAAGGAAAAGGTTAGGGTAGGAAGAATAACAAGAGCTTTTTCTTCGAATTTGTCAGGTGCTGAAGGTCTGAAACCAAGAGGTGATGAACAAAATACCAGTTCTATTATTTGTTAGTCGGTTAATTTGGTTCATATACCCAATATACTGGACTGCAACTTATTACATCGAACTGATAGTGTCAGACTTGCTCTATGTTTTTCTATTAGCATGTTGTAGCTAAATATGTTAAGTGAAACCTACATGACTATAAAGATTTGAGGAAATCATTCCTGCAAGTTGTAAAGTAATCGAGGATTTATTTTAATTGCCTATAGGTATTTGTTGACAGAGCCAATGAACTCAAGTTTGTTGATTCTTTTCAGGGTGAACTGCCTTAAAATTATGTTTGAAACAATTTAGTGCAATGATGTCTATATTAATTATTCACTGCTGTGGTTTGACATGTCAACCTTAGAATAATTTCATGCTCTCTTGATAGCAGAATAATCATCCAGGAAAAAAGTTGTATTTATATATCTGTAATGAGTGCTACTGAAGACCTCTGTTCTTAATAAACTTCTGACTATCGCATTCCACACACGTGCAATTTTGTTGAAGTTTGCTGTGCAATATAAGTTTGTTCCTCAATGGCAATTGGAGGTCCTTGCGGTGCTATCGATGGTTTGTCATTAGTTTGGACTTTGGATGATTATCAGTTTTTATGTATGTGCGTTTTTGTTGCTTGATATTGGCCAACGAGAATAGCACAGTTGAAAGACTGATAAATCAGAGGAAACTGATGAGCCTGAAAAAGTGATTGTAGAAGGTTAATAAATGTTTGAAGAAGTTTTGGTTGATAAAGATAACACGGAGAAACATCCAGAGAATACAAGGAAGATATGCAGGGTGCAAGCCCTCAGAAAGACTCATCCAAGGAGGTGAATATTTTTTTATACACCTATTTATAGGTTTTTATTTTTGAAATAGTTTCAATACTTATAGTTCCTGTATCTCTGTATGCATGCTTACTTTCTGCTATTCAGTCTTTTGAATTTTCTTTAGTTAAGAATCTGAATTGGCTTCTGTTGTCCAAAATTTGAGCTGTGTTGAACTCAGCACTCTGCAGAGCTTGTGTCACATACTAACGTTGTGACAATTTTCGTTCTTATCATGATTTGGAGGGATGGGTGATAGAATATAGAACAAAATTCCAGTCTTTTGTTAATTGATCTGGTGTTGCCTTCCCTAAAATATACGTAGTCATTGGTCCTAGGCTTTTTCCGGTGCATTATGCAAAAATCCTGCCTGTATTCTGCATTGCCTTATCACGTGCTATATTTGTTTCTAATCTAGGATATTGAACCATGCAGGAAAGATTGATGATACTGAACAGAATCAGAAACGGGGTGGTGAGCAAGGCACAGCCATGCACAGGAAATCAAACTGCAGAAGATAGCTCCAATTATGTTGAGAAGACTAGTGGTGAAGCAGAGGCAAGCAAACCAGAGAAAGTAAGAGTTAAAGGTCTGAGGAAAAAAAAACACTTCCGCCAAAAAAAGCAGCAGTGGGCCAAGAATCACTTTAGGTGCCGTACCGGAACTTTCCTATAGACGAGTCTCCTCGTATTAGTTCCTCATACAAAGTATCTTGTTTGCTGATGATTCTTGCTCTTCCATCAAAATCGAGTTGGCTACCTCAGGGTAAGCTTGTAATTTGCCTCAGTCTGACATGAGTTTTTCTGGTACTGTTGACTTATTGTTAATTTGTTATCGTGGAAATGTGTTCGTGTTCAGGAGTAAGGACTGAGATTTTCTTGTTCACTGCCTTGACTAATTTCTCCCCCACCGGAATTTCAAGGTTAGAAGATGCCTATGCTGGTGCATATAATTAAGGATCTTGTTGAGTTTATGATGAAATGGTAAAAGGAACTTGTGCTGGTTGCTCTATTGGAAAGCAATACAAGACGAGATGAATGCATATGGTATTAGAGAAGCTAGTGAGAATGTCTCCTTACATTCGTATGGAAACTGATCGCTGCTATGAAGTAGGCTTCTCTGCAGCTGTACGGATTATACCACCCCAGCATATGCATGTTCTTGCCCACATCTGATTGTAATCCGCATCAAGGCTTCGGAACACAAGTTTCCCTTGCTGCATGACTCCGTTTACGATTAAGGCACAATTTACATGATGGCCGCCGGTCCCTCAACTAGCACCTGAGACCCCATCAATGTCCACTCTTCCAATATTGACACAAAGGTGCCAAGAAAGAATGATGTTGGCTTCACAGGTTCGGAGTTGGGTCTGTTTCATCTCAAATCAGGTTTTCGTACCCGCCCTTAAAGCTATGAAGCCATTGTAATTTCCCTCAAGTAATTCCATATTATATTTGTGTGCTTTGTTTTGGATAGATTTGTATGCACGGGATGTGTTTGTTATATTTCTAAATTTTTATACATCAACCATTTTAATAGAGTACATAAAAATTAGCGGCATTTTAGGTAGATACCATAGTCTTACTTGGAGGGATGACAATTTTAATGTGGTGCTCTCTCTGTTAATAATTTTTTATGATTATGTGAATCATCATAGAAACTGGAAGTTGATTTTCTAAGGAAAATATTTAAGAAAAAACCAAGAAATTAAATGAGTAGCTGAAGACTTGAAGTTGAGTTACATGCAACTATAGGTAGTTTTTTTTGAGGGGGGTGGGGGACACTTGTTCCTCGTACTCCTCTGTCTTAAAATAATATAATACGGAGTACTTCTTATGTTTTCATTTCCACATCTCAATTAATTAACAAGATTTACATATACTTAGCTACTTACCACTATCAATAATCTCATAAAATTTCGCACTCAACAGAAATGAGAAGTTTATTTTGAGATGAAAGGAGTAATCTAGTTATTACAAGCTCGTTTTGCACCATGATTTACTTCCTCCACATCAGTACACTACAATATTTTCCTCACTTCGCTTAAGCAGCAATGCCTTCAATCAGTCTACTAGAGGCACAAGAGATTCCACCCATGACTCTGCATAAAATCCTAGGGGGACGGCAAACCCTCGAATTTAACCTCACGAATCGCTTGAGACTCTAGGTCATAGCAAATGATCTTATCTACTTCTTTCTTAGTACTAATAGCTTGGATTTCCTTCATCCCACATATAGGCATAGGGCAAAGCATGACATCAAAGGATGAGGGTGTATTCTCAGGGCATACGAGTGAGCAACGAAACAGCATAGACCAAGACTTCTCCATACCATCCTTGTTCAATGTCCATACATCCAAAGAATCTGTTACTACATGTAAATGTCCTCTAAAAACAGCCAACCTCGAGGCTTCTTAACCAATTTCTTCAGGAAGTTTCATCTCTTCATACTTTCGAGTATAAAGATCAAAACTCCCCATCATTTTTTCATCCGTCCAGTGCAAAGAGTTGTCCGCAATGACACCCTTTGAATAATGGAAATCGAATTCCCAAGGAGGTTTTTGAATGATCTCCCATGAATTCGCTTTCATGCTGTAAAGTTGAGTTCCCACTTTTCTCTTGTCAATGTTGTTCGGAGTATACTCATATTCGATAAAACTAATAACCTTATAATCATCACCAATGCAATCATACCCAAACATATTATGTCGTCGTACTTGTTGATAGCCACATAATTTGTATCTCTTCTTCTGTTTAGGTAATTGCTTAAAGGCTCGAGTTGCAGGATTATAAAGAACATAATAATACAAACCTTCAAAGCACACCAAGCCATTGCAGGAACCTACTAGATTATATCCATCCTCGAAATCACCCTCCTCTTTTATTAGTGTTCATTGGGAAACAAAGTTTAGTGGCAGGGCGTTCGGGATGATGGAAGTCGAAAGAATGTAGCCAACCATGACTTAAGAGAATGACCGTACCATTAGAGTTTGGTTTGGAAATTTGGTTTAATTGGATATTAACGAAATCTTTGCTGTCGATTTGGTTCCGCCATGATTTGAAACACACCTAAAATATAGAAGAGACTTGACGGGTAGAATTGACAAAATTTGTATAATTATATCCGTTGGAAGTTGAACATACTTCCTAATAGAACGATCCATATATACATATACCTACAAATTTACAATAAACATTCAATCAGCACGTAAAATATGAGGTCTAAAATATATGCATTCAATTCTTGATCAAATTTCATGTTATAATGCAAAACCTCCGTAATCACCTTTTATAATCTTTGGTTAGTATTAAAAACAAGATGGATTGAACAAGATAAATAGAGGAATAAGGATTACGAGAAATACCTTGCTTGATTTGTTATGCTTTTTATGCGGCATTGCGGCAACAATGAGTGTATATATATAATGTAAAAATCGGAATTAAAATGGGCTTGAAATTCAAGTCCGATCCTAAATGAATTTCTACGAAATCCTATTTGATTAAGTATCGGATTAGGTAGTTTGACCCAATGTAGATACAACTTACATTTTTTTTTACAATTTATAAGATTAATCATATTATTAAAACTTAACCCCATGACTTAATTACATTTATAATCCTAGTATACAGAAGACTTATCTCAGTGGTTATTTGGTATACATAAGACTTATCCTTTGTCTGTATTAACCATTACGAATCCTAACATTGACTCATAATTTAAAGAATCAATAGAAAAGTGCAACAATATGAACATCAACATAATTAAAGAGGATTAGCAATTCATATAAAATCTGTTCAATAATATATTTATATAATTTTTTTTTTATTTTATAAAAATCCAAACAACCTCGATCCAAATTCATATTTTAATTAATCTAGCTAAGCATTCTAGAATAATTACAGACAATAATTTTGCAAGAACAATTCGAAACTTGGGTACAACACCCGATCCTCCCTAAGGTGCACGATCAGCCCTTGTCAACTGATACACAAGGATGAAGTAAACTACATATCAAGCAGCAATAACAGTTCTAAGTTTCAAGAGATACCGCCCATATACATGTATCAGCAATTAATTTCCCTTCAATATCACACAGCTTTTCCAATCTTCCCTCGCTATAGTTCATCACATCATCTGACAGGGGTACAAGAGATTCAACCCACTGGAGTATAGCAGGAGATCGAGGTGGTAAACCTGGGATTTGGATCTTCGTAGCTTCTTTTGATTTTAAATCGCAGCAAATGAAGTTTTGTCTATCTCCCATCACTGCTAGTAGAATTTTGCTCCCATCCTTTGAGCAAGCAACACTGAGGCCCAAATGCATTCTACAGAAGGAATTATATAAACTGTTCCACTGCACAGAAGGACAACGAAATACTCGAGTCCAAGAATCTTGCACACCATATTCCTTTAGTACCCATATATCTAAATAAAATGTTACAACACACAACTGTCCTCTTAAAACACACAATGTAGGTGAATAGCCAGGAATAATTTTCTCATGAAGAGGTACTTCATAATACCTTTGGGTGAAAAGATCGAAACATTTGATTACTTTATGATCACGATCCATCCAATGCAAGGAGTTGTTAACCACACTACCAGGGGATAATATAACAGTCTCCCAAGTCCAAGGGGGGTTCTGAATGCTTTCCCATACATTAGTTTTGTAACTGTAGAGAAAAGTTTCCCACTCAGGTATACCAGCATAAGCCACTCGCAATCTTGCACACCTTAAAATCTTATAATCATCGGAAATGCAATCATAACCAAATCCTAGTGGAGTACGCAATTCCCTGTACATATTTGTCAACGTGATTTTTGGCAAGTTTTTGCAGGCTCGGGTGGCAGGATTGAGAAGAGCAACCTCATCAGCTTGACATGAGAAGCATAGTAAGCCGTTGCATGATCCAACTAACATTCGAAGATAATTATCGTTATCTGGGTAGTATAGTTTGGTGGCATGACATGGGGAATCACTATAGTCGAAAGTATGGATACAAATATATCCAAAAACGATTAGGGTCCCTTCCAAGTGTGCTTGGAGGGATCGGCTTAGATGAAGTTTGATAAAGTCTGGACTGTTGATTACATTGTACAATGACTTGGAAACACACTTGAAACGCAACAAAGGTTTAACGGGCAGACATGAGAGTATCTCAATAAGTAGTTCCAAAGGAAGATCAATAGACTTCTCTAACTTCTTCATATCCATTTCAATATGGCTGCAAAACAAGGATCGACCTTATTGTAATCCATCTAAAAACAAAGAATAAAATAAATTAAACTATATACAACGATAACCTTGAGAGAATCTCAGGGGGTTTGCTCTGAAGGAAGCAAAGAAGGATCATCATCCATTGCCACTTGCTCATCCATTCTTATAGCAAGATTGCAACTCAAATATATATATATATCGTAATCCATGATAAAAAAAAAAAACATCAATAACTTAATCATGTAATACAGAACAATAACCTATTCAATAACTTAATCATCTCATCCCACTACAGCAGTAGTACATAACCAGAAAATGATATAACATCATCTTTTCAAGCAAATCCACCCCCTAAAAGCATTCTCACTAAAAACTTCTATAGCAAAATGTTACTTAGCAACTTTAAAGGCAATCTTAGTAAAATTTTCTCTAATTAATCTGCAAAAATCACATGATTTTGACTTTAAAGGTACTTCCAATTTTAAATAATTCAAATCCTCTATAAAAGGAGTGAAAATGTGAATTCACAAACCAAACAAAGAAAAATGGGGAAAAAAAGGAAAATCATTTTAAGTAAAAACATTCTACCAGTACATCAATCCAAACGAGTCCTTAGAGAATTTGGGATTCATCTTAATTAGACGAATTTATGGAATTTAGATTTCGTTCAGCAGAAGCTCATATCTCAATTACTTTGTTTAATCAAAAGAATTAGAGTAGATTTTCAGAGAAATTTAATTTCTTGAACTAATTTCATCATAATTCAAACAAAATTCAAAATCATCAAATTGAATTTACAAAATTATCATCAAAATTCAAAATCAAGCAAATAAACAAAGATCAAAATCAAGCAGATACAGTAGCAGTTAAAATGTAAATCTGAAATAAGCAGACTTACCAAAATCAATGAATAATTGAAAAGCTGCGATCTTGAATCTCCAAAATCCGAACCCGTTCTTGCCCAAAATCTGAATTGTAGAAAGTCGAAACCAAAAGGCAATGTTAGAGTTGAAACCACAAAAACGTGACCATGTAAATTTTGAGTATGAGTTCTATTAGCCACTTATAACATAACATTGATTAAGTAATTTTTGTAATATTGAGTGACTAACCCCTATAACACAGACTAAAAAACCCCTATTACACTAATGAAATTATCTTTATGATGGCTGGTCATTCGGTGTGGTAGCCACATATAAGAATTTATGATTTTATTAATAGTAGTATATAATTTTCATAATTTTTATCGTTACGAAATTAAAATTATTTAATGATAAAAAAATGTACATGAAATGATAAAGTTATAAAGTTGACCGTAAATTCTCAATAAGCTATATTATGAGATAATATTGTCAAATGGGATCTTGTTAGATTCATCTCATTATCTATTTTATTAATATCAAGTTTTATAATTTTACGCATATAGAATTAGAGCTATATACATTTTAATACGCGTCTTATAGACCGTGAAAAGTCAAATAGGGCAAAAAAAAAAAAAATAGGGACAGAGAGTGTACATTTGTGCTTTATACAATACAGAGTACGTGAAGTTAAATGTAGTCCGGCTTTTGTTCCAAAAAAAAAAGTGAAACCTATAAATCTACACTCTATACTCCTTTAATATATAGAAAAACCAAGTTCAAATCAGAAATATATATATATATATATATATATATATATATATATATATATATATATATTAAAAATCATTAGCTTTCAAAAAAAAAAAAAAGTAAAAATCATTATCTTTAAATTAAAAAAAAAATAGAGATTTAATTAAATCAGTGTTAATCAGTAAAAACAAATTCATTTCAATAAGAATGATATAAGGGCTGTAAAAATAACTTAATTTCATCCATCTTCAAAAAAATTTTAATTTCATCAAAAATAAATTTAATTCATTTCAAATTATTTAAATTAAGCAAAAATAAGGTAAATAGAACATAGCCATAAGCCCGGTTCACTTCACCTTAAAATAATAACATAAGTTGCACTTCATATTACTGAATTTAAGATTGAACTTACATTTATGAACAAGTCGGGAACCAAATAAAACAACAAACAAGCCATATTATATAGTTGGCATCCACAAAAAGTGTGATCTAATGTCACTAATGCAGTGTGTCCAAAAAAAAAAAAAAAAAAAAAAAAAAAAAAAAAAAAAAAAAAAAAAAAAAAAAAAAAAAAAGTCACTAATGCAGCGGCGAATAGTTTAGGAAAGCATTCAAGGATAAATACAGACCAGACTTCTGAGAGACCAACTCGATTCTCCCTAGTGTGCATCATCAGCCCTTGTCAGCTGATCCTCAAGGATGATATACATGTATCAGCAATAAATTTCCCTTACAAATCACACAGCTTTTCCGATCTTCCCTTTAGTTCATCACATCACCTGACGAGGGTACAAGAGATTCCACCCATGGGAGTATAGCAGAAAAGTGGGGTGGTAAACCAGGGATTTGAATCATCCTAGCTTCTTTCGATTTTAAATCGCAGCAAATGAAGTTCTTTCTATCTCCCATCAGTGCTAGTAGGATTTTGCTCCCATCCTTTGAGCAAGCAACACTGAGGCCCAAATTCCATCTACACAAGGAATTATATAAACTGTTCCAATGCACTGAAGGACAACGAAACAGTCGAGTCCAAGAATCTTGCACATCATAATCCTTTAGTATCCATATATCTAGATAAAATGTTACAACACACAATTGTCCTTTCAAAACACACAATGTAGGTTTATAACCAGGACTAATTTTCCCAGGAAGAGGTATCTCATAATAACTTTGGCTGAAAAGATGGAAACATTTTACCTCTTTAAAATCACAACTCATCCAATGCAAGGAGATGTTAGCCACAATACCAGGGGATAATATAACAGTCTCCCAAGTCCAAGGGGGGTTCTGAATGCTTTCCCATGCATTAGTTCTAAAACTGTAGAGAAGTGTTTCCCACTTTGGCGACGCTGCTAATCCAGAAACAGGCATGTTGCGAACAGCTGCAAAAGGACTTGGCTCCCGCAATCTTGCATACCTTACAACTTTATAATCATCAGAAATGCAATCATAACCAAATCCTAGTAGAGTACACAATTCCATGGACATATTTGTCAACGTGACTTTTGGCAAATGTTTGCAGGCTCGGATGGCAGGATTGAGAAGAGCAACCTCGTCAGCTTGACATGAGAAGCATAGTAAGCCGTTGCATGATCCAACCAACTTCCGAAGATAATCAAAGTTATCCGGGTGGTAAAGTTTGGTGGCATGACAGGGGGAACCATTAAAGTTAAAAGTATGGAAACAAGTATATCCAAAAACAATTAGGGTCCCATCCGAGTGTGCTTGGAGGGATCGGCTTAGATGAAGTTTGACAATGTGTGGACTGTTGATTACATTGTACAATGACTTGGAAACACACTTGAAACGTAACAGAAGTTTAACGGGCAGACATGAGAGTATCTGAATAACTAATTCCAAAGGAAGATCATCTGTCTTCTCTAAGTTCTCCATATCTATTTCAATACGACTGCAATCCAAGGATTAAGGTTAATGTAATCCATCTAAAAAAAATGTAATTTTAAAAAATAGGAAATTTTGTCAACAACTATCAATTAAAATCTCTGTTTTGAAAACAACTACCTTTTAAAAAAAAATTTAAAACAACTACCACAAACTTGTAAAATGTTAGAGTAGCACTACCACTCTTAAATTTCCGGCAAGAATCTCCGGTGAGTGGGTCCCACTTTCTCCCTTTCCCTCCAATTTTTGTTTCTCTCTCCTCTCTATATAACAGCTAATGTTCGTTTTCCAATTGAACAAAATTTCCTAATTTTTTCCTCCAAATTTCTTCCTTTTTCGAAGAATTGAGCAAGAGGAATAATTTCTGGAACATTACATCAGGTAAATTGAGAATTTTATATGCTAATTAGGGTGCTTAATGATTCGAAATTGGGGAAATTAGGGTTTCACAATTTTTTGCGTTTGGGGTAAATTGAATGGATCTTAAGTGGAATTTGTCCTTCGGCAGCTGTCACCATCTTCCCCTTCTCCATTAAAGCTCCAGCTTTCCCAAACTAGAAACGACAACTCCAATTTGGTTGAAAGTTTGGACCCCGCAACAGAGAGAGAAAACGTGAGGAACGGTGGGGCAAATTCAATGACCTAAGCTAGATTAAAGTGTGAGGTGAGAATATTCAAAGGTTGTTGAAATTGGAGATGAAGGAGAGTATAGGGGAGTTAGGCGGGAATTCAATGAAGAGAAGGGAAGGTAGTTGGGTCAGGGGTAATTAGGTAATTTTGGATGGTCAAATTGGGGGGAAAGGGAGAAAGTGGGACCCACTCACCGGAGATTCTTGCCGGAAATTTAAGAGTGGTTATGCTATTCTCACTTTTTACAAGTTTGTGATAATTGTTTTAAAAAAAAAATTAAAAGGTAGTTGTTTTCAAAACAGAGACTTAAATTGGTAGTTGTTGACAAAATTTCCTAAAAAATAAAACATACAAAATGATAACCTTGAGAGTATCTCAGGGGGGTTGCTCTGAAGGAAGCAAAGAAGGAAGCAAAGAAGGATTATCAGCCATCTTTGCCACTTGCTCATCCATTCTTGTAGTAAGATTGCAATACAAATACACTTCGTATTAGTTTACCATAATCAACAATGAAAAAAAAAAATCAATTACTTAATCATGTCATAAAAAAAAGGATTACCTAATCATCTCATTCCTCTACTAGCATCTAATCACAAAGTGATATAACATCATCTTTCAAGCTAATCCACCCCCTAAAAGTATTCTTACTAAATACTGCTAAAGCACACTTTTACTTAATAATTTAATCTGCAATCTTAGTAAATTGTTCTCTATATAATCTGCAAGAATCGCATTGACTTCAGAGGTACTTCCTTAGATTCTTGCTTGAATTCAAACCTTCTTTTGTAACTCATAACCTTTCATTAGTCCATCAAGCACTAACTAAATAAACACGACGTGAAATTGTAAATAGCCAAGACTATAATTTAATTATTTAAACAGCCCTATTTAAATAAAGCTAGCAATCCTGCACTAAATGACTAGAAATTTTCCTTCATCCCTCGTGCTAGGGTTTTGTCGTCCCTTGTGCTAGGGTTTGGTAGTTTTGTGATCGTTTGTGCTCGTTTTTTCTTGGGATTTTTACATTGAAGGTCGGATTTTCTCGTTGATTTGCAATATGGATTCTGAATTAATAAAGGACCGGGAAAAATTCAAGTTGACAGATGAAGAAAGTGCTGTGATTGGGAATGATGGTGGGACCGATGTCAAAGGCTCATCGAAGGACCAAACTATGGACAGTGCTTGTGGGTAAACTATGGACGGTGAAGACTTTCAGCGTTGAGGCAATGAAAAGAACTCTCACGCCGATCTGGAGGCTAAATGATAATATCGCAATTAATATGGTGGATACAAACCTCTTTGTCTTTCAATTCTTCAAGTTGGAGGACAAGGAGAGGATTATGCAGGGTAGGCCATGGTTCTTTGATGGTAAGTTGTTGCTACTGAAGGAAATATAGGGAGGAGAGCAACCATCTGAGGTTGAATTCCTCAATTCTCCGATGTGGATTCGTATTTTTGATATACCTTTTAATTGGCGGAGTGCTTCGTTTATGTATGAAGTTGGTGAAACCCTTGGGGGATTTGTAGAACTTGATGATTCAAACCCGCTAGGATGGTGTGAATTTCTCCGTATGAAGATAATGGTGAATGTTCGTAAACCACTGAGACGTGGTATATTTATTGCTGGTGATGGTGCTAAAACGAAGTGGATGGACATAAAGTATGAGAGACTTGCAGATTTTTGTTTCTTTTGTGGGAGATTTGATCACAATGAGCAAAGGATGACGGTGAGTCAGTAGGTGAAATTGTCAATCAATATGGTGCTTGGCTTAGAGCATCTCCGATGAAGCCCTCGGAAGTTGGGTGCCATTCGTGGAGGGGGATGCTCGATCTCTAGCAATACAAAGCACATCAAGCTGGCGCCTGTTGCTGTTGTTTAAACCAACAAGCGAGCCTGACATTGAAATGCAACCGAAGAAGCGGGAAGTTACTCTAGCTAGAGTATATGACCCTCATAGCAATAGAAATGTTCTGTGATGTGAATACGAGAATGATGCCACTTCTAAAGTGGGGAATTTAGTGGAGTACGGTAAGGAGAATGCTACCGGTGGGTTTGTGGGTGAGGGCGTGAATGATGAAAGGTGTAATAAGGGAGGGTGGTTAAAGAGTGAAAGTGGGGGGGGGGGGGGGGGAATACGAACATGAGGGAGGAAGTGGCATTAAAAAACAATAAAGAGGGGGAGGGTTGAATGATTGGTAAGTGGAGAAGGGTGACTAGGATGGATGAGAGTTACAATGGGGTGGGGAATTAAGATAAAAGGGGGCTGGCAGAGGTTTGAGTTTGGCAAAAAATAAGATAAATGTGTTTGATGCAGAGTTAGATGTGGGATCTGAGAAACGGAGGTAGATGTTGATGTTGGCACTGGCGACAGTAAAACCAAATAGGGGGTGATGGTTTGAACCATACCCCCGAACAGCAATGAAACTCTTCAGCCGGACCGTCCGAGGGATTGGCAACCCTAGGACGGAGAGGACCCTCCGCGATATGTGTTGCAGGGAGAGGCCGAATGTAGTATTTCTGATGGAAACAAAAATTGATAGAGACGTTTTGGAGAGAATAAAAGGAGATGTGGGTTTGAGAATGGAATTTGTGTTAATAGTAACGGGTGATCGAGAGGTAAGGGATTTTGGTGGCGTGATACGAATATTAACATCATTTCCTATTCGACACACCATTTTGTTGTCGATGTGTGTAATAGGGATGGTGTTCCTTGTTGGAGAGCTTTAGGTGTTTATGGATGGCCGGAGAGTATGAATAAGCATATGACTTGGGAGCTTATGAAGTCTCTAAAAGATGCGTGTAATACCCCTTTTATTATGTTTGGTGATTTTAATGAGATCGTGAGTATGTCTAAGAAAGAAGGGGGCGTAGTGAGAAGGGAGTCTTTGATGGATGCTTTTAGAAATGTCATTGATTACTATGGATTGCGTGACTTGGGGTATAGAGGAAATAAATTTACATGGCAATGGGGCAATTTTGCTGATAATGTCATTCATGATGATGCTTGGTGTGAAATGCACCCAAATTTCTCAGTGCAACACACGGTGAGGGAAGAATTTGATCACTCTCTGATCATTCTTGATACGCTGAATTATTATTTTGACAGAGGTAAAAAGGGCAAATTGTTTCATTTCGAAGCCATGTGGCTTTCGAATGATGAGTGTACTAGTGTGGTCGGGGGGCCATGTTGATGCTCGTGTGATAGCGTACTAAATTAGCTGAAGACTTGGGTGAGCTCCAAAGGTTAGAGGAATCTTATTGGTACGCTAGGCCCCGGGAAAATGAGATGAAAGATAGTGATAAAAATACTGCTTATTTCCACTGAAAAGCTAGCCAAAGAAGGAAGAAAAATCGCATTGATGGCTTATTCGATTCGAATGGGGTGTGGAGAGATGATGAGAAGCAAATCAGCAATATTGTAACTGACTATTTTTCGACACTCTTCACGTCTGGCCGTTTAAATAGTGTTGTTACAGAGTCGATGAACAATGTGCTTGATGCTGAACCTAGCCCGGAGGAGATTAAGCAAGCATTGTTCCAGATACACCCTAACAAAGCTCTAGGAACGGCGGTATGCATGCCCTTTTTTCCGTATTGTACTTATTCCGAAATTTAATGAACCCAAATATATGACTATAGGCCTATCAGTTGTTGTAATGTAATCTATAAAATAATATCAAAGACAATGGCGAATAAATTGAAGCCGTTTCTCAATGATATTATTTCTATATATCAAAATGCATTCGTTTCGGGTCGATTGATAACTAACAATGCTTTGATTGCTTTTGAGATCTTTTATTCTATGAAATGACGAGGTGAAGGTCGACATGGCACGGTAACACTCAAGCTTGATATGAGTAAGGCCTATGATAGGGTGGAGTGTTTTTTTTTAGAAAGTGATGCTGAATATGGGTTTCTGTAACAACTGGATTTGCAGTTCTCTTTTAAGGTGAATGGTGAGATTTATGGCTTTGTGGTTCTGACCGAGGTATTAGGCAAGGTGACCCGATTTCGCCTTATTTATTTCTATTATGTGTTGATGCTTTCTCTGCGTTAATTTTAATTTCAAAAGCAGCTCATGAGAAGAAATTACATGGGGCAAGAATTTGCCAATCTGCTCCGTGAGTGTGACATTTATTTTTTGCCGATGACAGTATATTATTAGCTAGAGCTACTCTGCAGAAACGTTCGAAAATTGCTGAAATTCTCCGTACATATGAAAAAGCATCTAGTCAGAAAGTCAATTTGAGTAAGACAGGTTGCTTTTAGTAAATGTGTTATTGTGGATCGTGAGTGCCATTATAAACACTCTTGGTGTTAGGGAAGTGGAGAAACACGAAAAGTATTTGGGGTTGCCAACTATCATCAGGAAATCCAAAAAGGCCATATTTGCGTGCTTGAAGGAAAGAATATGGAAGAAATTAAATGGATGGAAGGAGAGATTGTTACGGGTAAGGAAGTACCTATTAAGGTCGTTGCCCAAGTCATTCCTTCATATATGATGAGCATTTTTAGGATCCCCGATGGTCTAATTGATGATATTCATACTTTCCTCTGTTGTTTCTAGTAGGGTTCTAGAGAGAATGCAAAAAACCTTCATTAGCAGAGTTGGGAAAAGTTGTGTCTTCCGAAGGCAATAGGGGGTTTGGGGTTTAGAGATCTTAAATGTTTTAACCAAGCTATCTTGGCAAAACAGATTTGGCGATTGTACACGAATGATGGAACATTGCTTCACAAAATTTTCAAAGCAAAATATTTTAAACGGTCATCAATTCTAGATGCTTCGAGGGGGTACGACCCTAGCTTTTCATGAGAAGTATGTGGGGGGCAAAAGGTCTCTTGAAAGATGGGTTGATGTGGAGAGTGGGAGATGGTAGTGTCATTAAGGTGTGGAAAGAACCATGGCTATGTATGGAGGGCCGAATTATTTTTCCTACGATGCCTACCGGAGGGAATGAAGATGTGTTGGTGGAAGAGTTGTTTAGGGATGGTATGAGGGAGTGGGATGTTGAGAGGGTCAATAGCCTTTTTCAACAGGATTTATGTGCTTGTATTCTGTCTATTCCGCTCTCGTCTCGACCCCAGTCTGATGCTATGTTCTGGCGGTTACTAAAGAAGGGTGTATACACGGTAAAATCTGGGTATTGGCTAGCAAAATTAGGAGGTGTTGAACAGCAAAATCAGGCTAACAATGATGCTCTTTGGCGATCAGTTTAAAGAATTCAGGGGCCTCCCAAATTACAGCATTTTGTATGGAGTGCTGTAAAAAGGAACCTTGCTGTAAAGACAGGTTGGTTCAAAGGCATATAACTCAAGATGCTTCTTGCCAACTGTGTGGGGAAGAAAGAAAGACCATTTTGCATTCTTTGTTACACTGTGATGCTGCCAAACAGATTTGGGCACTTAGTGCATATGTGAGTGATTTAGCTGGAGCTTCGAGCACTTTGTTTGCAGATTTCTGGGTGTGGTTATGCAGCAAATTTAATGCCGAGGCAGTAAGCACTATGGGAACGTTTTTGTGGGCAGCATGGAGGTGTAGAAACCTTGAGATTGTTGAGAACGATAGGCCTAATCCTACAATGTTGGCTGCTGGATTTCTGAGTTCGTGCATGAGTATAATCAGTATGCTAGCAAAGTATTTAGGCCTGTTGGTACTGCTGCTGTTCCTGGTAACGCAGCTGTGTGGAGGTGCCCTCCACAGGGGTGTGTGAAGGTCAACACAGATGCCCACTGTCCAGCAGGGGGTCTGGCGGGTTTGGGGACTGTGATCAGAGATGCCAATGGATCTCTCCTTACGGTCGCTACAAGAACACACACCACGTCTCCAGAGTGTGCAGAGGCTCTTGCTGTTCGTTATGCCCTTCAGCTAGCTAGACGATTGGGCTTTTCGCGTGTGTGGGTGGAATCTGATGCTATTAATGTAGTTAAAGCGGTGCACATTGATGATGGTGGAAAAGCTCCTATTCACCTTATTTTTGATGATATTAGAAAAGATAGTTTGCCCTTTGAACTTTGTACATTTTCCCATGTGAAACGTAGTTGTAATACAGTAGCTCACCTTGCTGCAAGGTGGGATACTGGTTGTAATGTGGAAAATGTATTCTTGAGTCCTTTTCCCCAAATCCTCATCACTTTGGCAGATTTGGATATGATTTAATAATATGGGCAACTATTTATCCTAAAAAAAATAAAAAAATAAAAAAAAATCTTGCACTTTTGATCCACCCTCTTTCCTCACGATAACATTATACACCCGAGTGTACCTTAGAGCTAAGTAATCCTTATAGAGAATTGGAGAAGAAATGTTGTATTTTCATTAAAGACAAGCCAAACTTATATACAATTACAACCCTAAGTAATACGGTTACAATAAAAGCAATAGAAGATATACAGCCTAACATTAAGGAGAGAATTAAGGGAAGATAATTGAGAATATTATTTACATGTAAATTACTAGAATCAAGGAGAGTATTAAGGGGAATATTGAGTATAATGTGCAAGTATCATCAGTGATTAAATCAAGGATCAAATCAAGGATTGACCTTGACTTGATTATTCCTTATTAATCCTTGGAGGGGGTATGAATAAGTAAAAAACAGAATTGGTTGTACCTAGAGCTAAATACACCCGCGTGTATAATTGATACTATCAATTCTAGCTCAAGATTTCACTTAGAGAGCTTGGAATTCTTCATTTGAAGTTGACGAATTTATTGAAATCAGAGTTCGTCCAGCAGAAGCTCAAGTCTCAACTTTTTGTTTAATCAAAAGAATTAGAGTAGTTTGTCAAAGAAATTTAATCTCTTGAACTAATTTCAGTATAATTCAAACAAAATACAAAATCATCAAATTGAATTCACAATATTATCATCAATATTCAAAATCAAGCATAAAAATGAGATCAAACTCAAGCAGATACAGTAAGTAAAAAACTGGAATATAACTCAATTAAACTGACTTACCAAAATTACGAATAATTGAAAAGCTGCGATCTTGAATCTCCAAATTTCGAACCCTTTGTTGCCCAAAATCCGAAAATTTAGAAAGTCGAACCCTAGACGGAAAGTTCAGTCAAACAGCAAACTCGTGACCTAGTAAATTTTGACCATCGTGACCTTGTAAATACTTAATGCGGGACCAACTGACCAAGGTGTACAAATGTAAAATCTTGTACTCTGAGGACTCTTTCTCCATACTCCCTCCATTTTTAAATACTTACTCCACTTTTTATTTCCAACTATTTTTAAATACTTGTTTTATTTTCTTATTTGGAAAAATTTTATAATATTCAATTCATTTCTCTCAACTATTGGACCCAAGATAAATCATACTTTACCTCCGTTTTTTTTAAGTTGACACATTCTTTTTAGAAAGTTTGTTTTTAGTTGACACATTTCTTTTTTGGGTAAGTTTTACACCTTGTATTTACTAGTGTACCCCACTTGCTTTATCATTCTCTCATTCTCACTCCCCTCCTTAATATGTGTGCCTAAATTGAACGTGTCAACTAAATAGAAACGGAGGAAATATTTTATTAATTTTATATTCTCTCTCCTCCAATCCTCTCAACTACTTTTGTTTTTTACAATTTTTTATTCTTTCACCTACCCCACTATCTCCACATTTTATTACTATATCTAACTTCTCCTAAAACTCCACACATGGAGAAATAGAGTAAGTATTTAAAAATGGAGGGAGTACCTTTTTGTAGGTAAAGCGTTTCTCTAATATATACGTATGTGGATGTGAAACTTTAGCAAAAAAGAAGTATAACACCTTAAAAAAAACAAACATAGTTGTATTTGGTAGATGTAATGTTTAAAAAAACACGGAATTGTGAGTATGTTGTTTTATTTCATTTTTATCCAAAGACCCTCGGTCTATTCGAAATTTGAAATTTTATTTTTGAAATAAGTGAAACCAATTCAATCCGAATTGTAAAAATAGTAATCTAATCCAAACTAGTGCGTAAGACCAAATATAATATAAGTTGTACAAATTAAGATTGATCTTAGCTACATTCGTTTTTAAGTTTTACAAAGTTGAAAGTTGGAAACCAAAAACAACCCATAATAGTTAGCATCCACAGCAGCCGGTAAAAGTGTGATATAATGTAACTAATGCAGCGGCAGATAGTTTGGCTAGGCATTCTAGGATAAATACAGACCAGACTTTAAGTTACAATAAGAGTTTTAAGTTGCATGAGATAACACTAACAGTAACAAACATGCATCAGCAATAATTATCCCTTCCAAATCACCCAGCTTTTCCTGATCTTCCTTTAGTTCATCACATCATCTGGCAAGGGTACAAGAGATTCCACCCATGGGAGTATAAAGGGACATTGGGGCGGTAAGCCTGGGATTAGAATCTTCACAACTTTCTTTGATTTTAGATCACAGCAAATGAAGTTCGGTGGATCTCCCCGCAGCGCTACTAGAATTTTGCTTCCGTCCTTCGAGCAAGCAACACTGAGGCCCGTATGCCAACTAGAGAAGGAGTTGTATAACCTGCTCCACTCCCCAGAAGGACAGTGAAACAGTCGAGTCCAAGAATCATGCACACCATACTCCTTTAGTATCCATGTATCAAAATAAAATGTTGTTACTATACACAACTGTCCTCTTAAAACACACAAATTAGATGAATTGCCAGGACTAATTTTCTCATGAAGAGGTATCTCATAATACCTTTGGGAGAAAAGATCGAAACATTTTATCTTTTTACGCTCATGATCCATCCAGTGCAAAGAATTGTTAGCCACAATACCAGGGGATAATCTTACAGTCTCCCAACTCCAAGGGGGTTTCTGAATGATTACCCAAGAATTACTTCTAAAACTATAGAGAAGAGTTTCCCATTCAGGTATTCCAGCATTAGGCATCCGCAATCTTGCACACCTTAAAACCTTATAATCATTGGTAATGCAATCATATCCAAATCCTAGAGGAGTACACAATTGCATGTACTTATTTGTCAACTTGACTTTTAGCAAGTTTTTGCAGGCTCGGGTGGCAGGATTGAGAAGCATAACATCATCAGCTTGACATAACAAGCATACTAAGCCGTTGCATGATCCAACTATCATTCAAAAATAATCAACGTTATCCAGGCAGTAAAGTTTGGTGGCATGACCGGGAGAACCATTGAAGTCGAAAGTGTGGATACAAGTAAATCCAAAAACGATTAGGGTCCCTTCCGAGTGTGCTTGGAGAGATCAGCTTAGATGAAGTTTGACAAAGTGTGGACTGTTGATTACATTGTACAATGACTTGGAAAACACATGAAACGCAACAGAGATTTAACGGGCAGATATGAGAGTATCTCAAAAAGTAGTTCCAAAAGAAGACAATCAATCTTCTTTAACTTCTTCATCTCCATTTCCATATGACTGCAATCCAAGGATCGAGGTTATTGTAATCCATCTAAAATTAATAATAATAATAATTTTAACAATTTACAGAGATAACCTTTGGAGGATCTCAGGGGGTTGCTCTGAAGGAAGCAAAGAAGGATTATCAGCCATCTTTGCCACTTATAGCAAGATTGCAATTCAAATATATTAGTTTACCATAATCCATAGTGAAAAAATAATCAATAACCTAATCATCTCATAAAGAACAATAACCTACTCAATGACTTAATCATTTAATTCCTCTACTACAGTAGTATATAACCACAAAATGATACAAATACTTCTAGAGTAAACTGTTACTTGGTAAATTTATTTTGCAACCTTAGTAAATTGTTCTCTAATTCATCTTTAAGAATCACAAGATTTTGACTTTAAAGGTACTTCCAATTTAAATTTTACTTGATTTTAAACTTTCTTCGGTAACCATCACCTTTCATTAGTCTATCGACAACAAGTCAACAACAACAAAGCCTTAGTCCCAAAAAGATTTAGAGTCAACTAACAAAAATCATCATAAGGAGCCGTTCGAAAAAGAACAAGACTATAATTTAAAAAGCCTTATTTAAATAAAGCCAGCAATCCTACACCTCTGATCCACCCTCTTCTCTCGCAATTACATTATACACCCGAGTGTACTTTAAAAGCTAAGTAGACCTTGGAGGGTTTAAAGATGAGTAAAACAGAGTGTATAATCAACACTATCATTTCAACTCAAAAGGGGCTCAAGATTTCACTTTAGAGAACTTGGAATTCTTCATTTAGAGTTGACGAATTTATGGAGTTTAGATTTCGTCCAGCAGAAGCTCAAATCTCAATTCCTTTGATTGAGTAGAATTTCACAGAAATTTAATTTCTTGAACTAATTTCATTATAATTCAAACAAAATACAAAATCATCAAATTGAATTTACAAAATTATCATCAATATTCAATATCAAGCAAATAAACAAGATCATAATCAAGGAGATATATAATCTAAAGCTCAAATAAGCTGACTAACCAAAATTAATGAATAATTGAAAAGCTGCGATCTTGAATCTCCAAAATTCCAAACCCTTTCTTTTCCAAAATACGAAATTGTAGAAAGTCGAACCCTAGACAGCACGAATATGACATTGTAAATTCTAATAATCTTTTTTTTTTTTTTTGATAATCCGAATATTAATTTATTGATAATTAAAGATATTATTAGTCATAATTTCACGTTGACATTTTAATCAATTCATGACGTCTGGTTATTTATCCGTATAAAATTTTAAAATATTGTCTCATTTCCATATGTCGTAATTAGTCTAAAATATTTACTTCAAAAAATAAAATAGTCTTAAATACTTACTGTACTTTTGTACACTAATAAAAGTGAAAACCATATAAATTACACATTTACACTCCTTTGCTTGGATTATTTTGGGCCAAATCTTATTGTAAAGCACATTATGCATATGAGGGAAGGGGGTGTTTCATAGGTTTCGGGTTTGAGGTATAGGATTGGAATGAATAAAACTCATAATTGATGTTTGTTTAAGAAAAACCCAATTTCTAAACACATACCTCAAAAAAGTTTCAGGAGTACTTCATATCACAGCATCAGTTATCATCCGAGAGGTAAATTGCAAGCCGTAACATATAATTTTCTTGTGTAAATTCATTTTGAACCTTATGATTCATTGATAAAGCTGTGTTCACTTAAATCTATCTATTTTGTGAACAGAGTGTTTAACGGTGACCATGCAACAAATCGTCTGTACTTCATCCCAGATCATCAGTTATCATCCAAGAGGTAAGTTGCAAAGCAGAAACACAGAACTATCTATTTGCAGTCAGATAGCTGAATGACACGCTTCAAGATTAACAAACATGGCGACATAATGCACCAAGAAGGATGTACAATTTCAAGTCTAAAAGATGTACAGATAATCACAGAATGCTTTTTACATATTATCTCCAGGAGATATGCACAAGCTTTTCATTCAGGCACTCAAGCCAAGTTTTTAAAAAAAAACAAGTATACACTATACAGTGGAAACAATTTTGAAATAAACTCACTGAGAGGAAGCTTTCAGCCAGTTCTCATTAGCTTACTATCAATCATTATTATCTGAATCCGATTAGATAACTTCACGACGCAGCCAGCAGCAAGCCAACATTGCAGAATGATGCCAATGATCTTTATCAGTACATATTATTTTTTGTGAAGAAATTTCAACCTAAAAGAGACACCTTTTAAAGAGCACTCCTCCCCTGCCACAATGCAATATAAGTTCTTTTTAGCAGTCAGACACTCAGAGTCTCAGACCTTGTGATGTAAATCAGAATCAAAACAAGAAATCATAATTTAAGCCTCAAATTTTCATAAGCAGGGTATCAGGAAGACAGGAACTCATGCCTCAATATTACAAGTAACATCATAATTAAGGTTAACAAGTACTCGCAGGAAAAAAATGCAGCGTAATCTCTTTTACCTTTTCGTGCTCCTTGCATTCACCTTTTTCCATTTAATGCATCAGCCTTCCAAATTCTCATCAACACTACAGAAGAAGGGATATAGTACAGCTCAGTTTTGTAGCTACTTAGGTAGACGTATACACTACACAAAAACCAACCTACATGGCATCGACATGAAAAGAATGCAAGTAAACTCAAACAATTTACCTAATACTTCTTCGATGCACGTGTTTCCTCCTCCTTCGCCTCCTCCTCTTCTTTGTTCCCTGCTGATGGTCTAGAGCTTCACTGCCAGAACCCTTCAACATAATGAGGTTCTCTATACATACTTGAGTGTCAAAACATCTAGGGAAATCGCAGACCTTAACATCCTTGATCACCATAGTCTGCAAGTCAAGTGAAACAACCCTCCAAGTATTCAGCTGCAGAAAAAGCTTCTGTCGATTTAAAGAATAGGCAATGGGCCACTCGAGAAACATAAGCTGTTGTGATTGCTTAACTTTGAATAACCTAGACCATGACTCCACCACACCATATTCCTTCAAGACCCATACATCTGAGTATTCCAAGTCATTCACCATAAGACATAAACACCCTTCAAGAACCCCAACACGTAAGTTCATAGACTGTTCCTCAAACTTAGGCTGAGGCACCTCAATAAAGCTGTTATCACCAAGACAGAATCCAACAATTGAATACCGCTTTTCATCCTTATGCATAAATTCATGTACCCAATGCAAAGTACCGTTAACAAGAACACCATCTTCACGGTAGGAAAAGAATGGGGAAGGAACATCTGGAGCCCTCACCCATGAATCCATTTTCAAGCTATAAACCATGACTTGGCTCTTGAAAGGACCAGTTCCCTCATTGCTTTGCAAAATCCTAACAAACTTATAGTCCCTAGATTCTTTTTCATACCCAAACCCAAACGAGTAGCGATGAGACAAGCTTGAGGGTTTAGGCAAAAAGGGGAGTTTCTTATAGGTTCGAGTCGTGGGATTGTACAAGAGGATAGTAAGGTGCAAATCATAATTACAGAGGCAGAGCAGCCCATGGCAAGAACCCACCACATGGGCAAAACCCTGACTACGAAAGGGGTTATCCAACTCAGTGATCCGATCAAAAGTGTCGAATTCAGCAGTAGAGAGATGGGGAGCTGAAAAAACAAATCGGAGGTTTGGATTCGATTGAGCTAGGGTTTGATCAAGATGAAGCTCGGTAAACTGAGGGGAGCTAATTAGGTAGTACCATGACTTGCATACACTCTTATATTGCATCAAGGGTTTCGCACCCAATCTTAAGAATATATTTATCAACAAATCAAAGTGAAGGTCCATAAATTCCGTCATTTTTGTTCAAAGTTTCAATAATTCACATAATCTGTTGTTATTCTGCACAAAAGAATCGAAATTCAAGCAATTTCAGCAGAAAATTAATAAATAATTTGAAGATGAAACAGGGAATTGAGAAAATTATTCATACATATAATTCGAATTGAATTGAATTGAGCAAAAGGGAAATCAACAAATAATTCGAAGATAAAATTATGCATATAACTAAGTCAAACATGGGAATTGAGAAAATTGACAAACACTTCGAAGATTAAACATAGGAATTGAGAAAGTTATGCAGATAATTGAATTGAATTGAGGAAAAAGGGGAATAAGGTATTGCAAAAAATTGAAATGCGAAATTAAGTTAGCAAAAAGATTCAAAATTGGAGCAAACCCAACAAAGAAATACGATATAATTGAACAATTGAACATATAAATTAAATAATTATGCGATAAATTGAATTGAATTTGAGGAAAAAAATTTAAAAGGGAAGACGTAAAATGATTGAGAAAAAGTCAAGGATATAAATCAAGAAAAACAAAGATATTCGAGGTATTAGAGATTTCAATTAAAATTACAGAAAGAGGAAGATAAAATTATCAGAAAGATTACCAGAAATCGATCAAGTTATTTGAGGAAGAGACTACAGTTGCATGAAACAAAATTGATACAAGTTTGAGAATACTTTGTAACTGTTTATTCATTCTTCAAGTCTTCTTTTTCTTTTTTTTTCAATAAGAATTAAAAAATCAACCCAGTATATTCTTGGTGCGCCACTTAGCCACCCACGGCACTCATTTATTGGTAGTGTTCGAGGTGTCAATTCAGTTCATTCAGAATTATTTTGAATCGGGTTGAAGGTTGGGCCAATTTTGAATAAGTTTCTTTTTGATTAATTTCAAATTTGGATTAGTTTGAGTTGAGTTGGATCATAATTAATTTCATTATTATCAATAGGCTTATATTAATAAAAAATAATCACTATTGAAAACACAATGAATGGATTAGGTAGGGTCAAATCGATTCGAATTCATCCTATTAAATTATATAAGAAGTGATCTAAGTAGATTGTGTTTCTAGAGCTACACAGAGTACATCACCTAACTTGATTGGATCTAGAAAGAGTGAAGAACCATCATTGTGATTAGTGTTGCAAAGTCACAAAACAAAGAACAAAGTTCCACATCCTTCCTTGTTTCTAGCTCTTTAACTAGTTTTGGCCATATAAAAGTGTTATATACAAGATCATCCAATGGAGTTTTTGATTACCCTTAGAGAGTTAGAGTCATTTTTTATTTTGTTGACTTTAAGGGTAGCTCAATTTAAATTAACAAATGATGATAATCAAATTTGCTTATTAATTAGTAATGTAGCGAAAACCTAGATTTTGTGCAAAGATGAGCGTAACAATTATACTAAAACGGAGAGGGAATGTGATTTCTTGTACGTTGTTGTGCAGAATATAAAGCATTTGTATATCTATAATTTCACGTTTTCATTGTTCTCCTAGGCTATGTGGGACTAACTTGATAATATGACACACATAAAAACACAATTAAGGCCAAACAACCAACAACCATAACAAGATAAAACCCACTTGATAGTTGTAAAATATTTGTGGGTCATCAATTAGGTTGGGAACAGTTGGAAAATCGTAAGTATGTGGAAATATTAGCCCTTGAGACATCCTTAGTGTACGATGATAAGGAAGAAATATTAATGGACACCTTAAAAACCTTTTAGTAGATTAGATATGAGTCTTTTAGAAGACAACGTAATTGTTTTATGAGTTAACAATGGAAACCACAAAAATGAATCCAAATGAACATCACGAGGAGGAAGAAACACGAGTCGTCATCAGTGACGAGGAAGTTGAGCAGCTTAAGCAAAGTCTTCCTAAGGAACTTTCCTTGGGCAAGATTGAATTGATAAAATACCAAGGCTTCTGGTATCCTGTTGAAACTGATTTGTTCAAGAGTAGTCTCATGTTTCAAAGACACTTCATTGCAAGGGATAGTGATCTAATTGTCGCGAGCTTCCCTAAAACCGGTACCACTTGGTTGAAAGCTTTGCTCTATAGCGTTGTCAACCGTTTCAAACGCCCTAGTAACCAAAGCCCTTTTCTTATCCATCATCCACACGAGCTTGTACATCGCCTAGAAAATGACATCTATGGTGAAGCTTTTGAGTACCCTCGTCCACACCATCTTAGCGAGCTACCTTCACCGAGACTTTTCCACACCCACTTGCCCTTCACCACCCTTCCGGAAACTATCAAAGCTTCAGGGTATCGGGTTTTGTACATTGCACGTAATCCATTGGATACAATTGTGTCATTCATGCTCTTCGCTTTGAAGCCACTCAAAAAGATATTGGGAGAAGATTTCCAGCCTACTATTCAGGATTTCTTTGAGGAACTCTGTGCAGGAAGAATATGTCACGGTCCTTTCTTTGAGCACGTGGTTGAATATTGGAAGCAGAGTTTAGAGCAACCAAACAAGATGTTATTCCTTAAGTACGAGGATTTGAAAGAGGATCCGACCTTTCAGCTAAAGAGAGTGGCTGAATTTGTGGGTATGCCATTTTCTTGTAGCGAGGAAAGTGAAGGTGTAGTTGAAGAATTGGTAGAGATGTGCAGCATCAACAACCTCAAAGAATTGGAAGTCAACAAAACCGGAGTTATCAACAAGATATACGATAAAAAGAGCTATTTTAGGAAAGGGGAGGTGGGAGATTGGAGCCATTATATAACGCCTACCATGGCGGAGAGGATGAAGAAATTGATGGAAGAAAAACTCGAGGGCACTGGTTTATCATTTCAGTTACTTCCTCACTAGTCACAAGGTTAGAAAATGATACCCTGTATCAAGTTATGTTTATTCCCTTCGTTCTTAAATAAGTGCAACATACGCTTTTGTTAAATTTGTATGTTCAACATGACCCAAACTTTCAGTTTCATTTGTTTCCCTCTCTTGTTATGATTAGAATTAATGGTGCCTAAAAATCCTGAGATAGCTACTTCTAGCAGATGGTCTCTATGCCTGAACTATTGGGTTTGGTACACTAAACTAAGTAAGCAACAAAGAAACCAAACAAAAACATGGTGTTAATAGATTTCAAAGACCACCCAAATTGATCGAACGCTTTTATAACTGAAAGAAGGAAATCCACTAAAACCAACTAAACAAATTAAGACATCTAATACAGTAGATATGTAAGGTTCAAGGCAGGAAAGCTCTGTTCAAAAGCCCGGTATTGGGATAAAATACTAATACCAAGTAGTAAACAAAACAACTGTATTAGCTCAGAATTTAGAGCAAGGGACAAAGAAAGGGAAATGAGAGAGAGCTCCCCCTATACTCTCCAAATCTAGCATAATTTGCATACAATCTTGAAAATTAATAATCTAGAAAGGAAAATGGCGTTTGGTAAAATAATTAGATCATACCGTAATTTGCATACAATCTTGAATCGAATAAGTGATTTTGCAGGCAATCTTAACAGAATTTCAATGATTATTATATCCATAGGAAGGGTTTCCAGTGTATCCATTTTGTTAAAAGATTGAAAATTGGGATTCAGTTGCACAATTTAATAGCAGAATATCTAAAAATAAAGGATCAATTAAATTAATTAATCTAGGGTTTGGGAGATTCTGTAAAATTGAAGAATTGGAAAAATATTAACGAAATGAGGGTAAATTAAAGAGATTACCGGTGAAAATAAAATTGTGAAAAGCGAATTATGGATTATAACGAGGAAGTCCTAATATATCACCGTTAGACACAAGTAAAATTGCATAATAGCCTTTTATACTATTAGAAATTCTAATAGTACTAAAAGTGTTTTTTATACTAATGAAAGCATATATAGTACTACTTAGAATGTTCAGTAAAAAACTATATTACTCCCTCCGTTTTGAAATACTTGCTCTATTTCTACTTTCTGCACTATTCATTTGTCCTACTTTGACTAATGTTTTGTGATTTATTCATAAGAAAAAATGTAGTTTTGTGGGTACTTGTTGGAATCGTCTCAATAAATATATTATTAATTTTCAATTGATAGAATTTATACTTGTTGATAATTAAAGATATTATTGATCAAAGATTAGCATCGGCATACGTGTCCAAGAAAAATGGAGCAAGTATTTAAAAACGGAGGGAGTATCTCTCAGTACTACTCTCAAAATCTCATTATTTACAAAATTGTCATTGTTATGTATTTGCTTGTGTCTAACTGTGAATCTGTGATGTATTAGGACTTCCTCGATTTTAATTGTCATAGAAAAAGTGGCAACCTAAAGTTTTTTGGATAGAGGAGAACTGGAGGTTGGAGATTCTGGAGAATAGAGATTAGAGAAATATCAATAAAATTAAGTGTTTCGGGGTTTTCTGATGTCCTGCGGGAGAGTTACAACACCGAGACTGGAACCGGCCGCCTGTACCTGCAAAATAACGGAGACTCCTGAGAGCTCCGCCTCCAACGGTCAAGTTAGTACCTGATTAAGGAGTAATGATTACGGAAATTAAAGCAATAAGGTCTCTCTAGGTGAGAGTGTTTAATGTATAATCCGTGAGTGATTAGTGTTCTGTCACTTTTTCTCTCTCTGATTCTCTCTTTTCTGTCTTTCTCTTAATGAGGATTAAGAGGAGTATTTATAGTCTTGAGAAGCGTGCCACTCTCTAGGTTTAGGGTAAACCTAGGGCTGACCGGGCCTCTAAACAGGATTGGGCCTTGGTGGCCGGTTTTCCCATTTGGCATGGGCGGACACATGGCGTGTCTCAATTGGTCCGCAGAGGACGTATCTGTGATTGACACGTGGCAGGCTCCTATTGGCCTACGTGAAGGACACGTGGCGGAACCTGGTTGGTCCACTTGTCAGACGGTGATTGGAGGATAAAAATCCCCTAATCATTTGCCCCTCACAGGTGGCACGTGACTGGTCACGTGTCGCCTGTGACAGGTGTCGCATGGTGAGAGGCGACGGCCTGCTACAGGTGTCACCTTGCAAACGGCCGAGAGATTTTCCCGCCCACATTTTGAATTTGGAAGCGACCCTTCGCCTTCTCACTTCGCCTATATAAGGAAGTGCTGACTTCGGTCATTTTCACATTTGAGAACTTTGCGAGAACATTCGGACCCCTGAACTTGCTCTGACATTTCGGACATTTTCTGCCTACCGCCTGTTCTGACAAGCCGACTGACCCGGATTTCCAGATCTTCATCAACCGTCACTCGTTCAGGTAACTCAGTTCTCTTACTCTTTAATTTTCTTTTTATTTTTTGAAATGGCACCACGGAAGCACACGACACGACCTAAGTTAGTGATCAGCCGGTCACCGGGGACGGCTGAATCTAGGACTAGGAGTGCCGCCTGCCCTTTTCTGGACCCATCTTTGCCCTTTATACAAAGTCCGACTGTATCTGTGTCTATGCAGAACGTGATGGCCAGAACCAAAAAGACTGCCATGATATCAAACTCAGACGGCTCCTCCCAAAGGGTGCTCCTTAGTGAAACATCTGACCAGGCGCCAGATGTAGATTTGAACCGAGGCGGCTGCCAAGCCGACAGTTCTAAGAGAGGGGGCAAGGTGTTCCCTTCCCATTTTACCGTCATGTCTAATTTTCCTCCTGCCCCTTCTAAGGGAGAGGAGGCGGGCCCCTCTGGGAGAGGGGAGGAGTCGTCCTCTTCGGACTCATCAGAGGACGAGTCCGAGTCCAGCTCTTCTGGCCACAGTTCTCCAGGCTCAGAAGAAAAACATAGCCGCCTACAAGAGGCGAGACTTTCTCACGCAGTTGAGAAGGGGGACAATTGGGCGGAGCCGTCCGCCTCTTACAGAGAGGAAAACGCCCCCTACTACTGCAAGGTGCCCCGGGGCCGGATCACAACCATGCAAGACAACGTAGCGAGCTTTATTGCCAACCACAGAATGGGCCCGGAATTTTTACTGTTCGTGCCGGATCCAGAAGACACTGTCGTCTGGCCGGCTGGTACCAGCTATGATGACGGCTGCTTTGGCTGCTATGTGGCGGCCATCAAAGCTGGACTGCGCTTCCCATTACATCCGGCTGTTCAGCGGATTTTAGATGGGTATGATTTGGGGTTATGGCAGTTAGCCCCCAACTCTTGGGTAAACGTACTCGGCTATGTGGCCGGGTGCGAAATGTACGGGGTGGAGCCAAGCTTTGAGGCTTTCGCCCACATGAACTATCTCAGCCGGACCCCTAAGTCGGGAGGTACCGGCTGGTATCAATTAACGAGCCATAGGGGTTACCTCATGACGAGAGGTAAAGCGAACAAATGGAAGGATTGGCGGAACACCTTCCTTATCATTGAGGGTTCAGACACGGAGCTGAACCAACGTTTTAACAAGTGGAATAGGGATCCGCCTCTTCTCGCAGGCGGTCGCAGCATGCCGCCTGTTCCCCCAAAGGCTAAAAAAGAGATCCTAGACAAAGGACTCTTCAAAGTAGAGACTAGGGTGAACTCTACTTCAGGGGTACGAGAGCAAGTACCCCTAAACTGCGTCCCGAGCTTTAAGTGGCTCTATGATGAGTACTTTTTGGCCGCCTGTGGCCTCAGCAGTCGGTGCTCTAGAGGTAGCCGGCCTGACAAATACTGTTTTTTTTTTTTTTTTTTTTTTTCACGCCTTGTTTACTTGAGATTTTTACTAACTTTGCTGTTTATTTTTTGCAGCTGACGCCATGAGTAAAATAACAGCATCCAAGACTGCGGCGGCCATGTTGCGGGCCTCGCTCATGAAACAGTCTTATGCCGACTCCCCCAACAAGGGGGCACCCTTGGTAAGCTTCGAAAACTCTTCCTCTTTTAGTTGTCTTATGCATATACTAACTCTTTTTGTTTTCAGTCTGGCACTCCAAGGGCTTCTTCCTCGCAACAGCCGGACCCCAAGGCCCGGAGGACGACTGTTGCAAGCTCTCCTGGGTCTTCCAGGAAAACGGTGGCGGCTGAGAAGCAGCCGGCCACTTCTTCAAAAACCCCGGCGGGGCCGCCTAGTAGTATGGACCCTCACTTGTAAAAACTCACTCTTGCTTCCTTCTTGACTAGGTCTAACTTGTTTTTCCTTTCGCTTAATGCAGCCGGCCCTCAGGGGCTTGACTTGGTTGAGGTAGCCAAGTCCATGGTTAAAGTAGTTCCTCCATCTGACAGGGAGGCGGTCAGGGGTGCCGGAACCCTTGACCTTGATGGGATTTCAGGGATCCTTGCTGAGGTATACTGAGTTTTTGAGTTCCAGGACGCCTGTTATCTTTTTTTTTTTTGCTTGGAAGCTGACGCCTGTTTTTCTTTGTACTTAGGCCCTGCTCCGAGTCAACAGCCTTCGCAAGCCGATTGATCGGAAAAACAAAGAGGTAAAGGCCGCAAAAGCTATGGCCGCCTCCAGCTGTGATAAGGCAATGTTTCAAATTGCCCAAAATGAAGTACTGACCATTGATCTTCTTTATTATCAGGCGCAGGCTACCGCCGCTGTTCGGGCTCAGTTAGAGGCGGCCCAAAAGAAGGTTGACGAGCTGGAGGCGACCGTCACAAACCTTAAGGCCGAGCTGAAGCCTCTTCGCCAAAAAATGCACTCTTACGAAGTCATGGAGAAATCTTTGGCCAACGTAAAAGAACGCCTGGTGAACCAAGAGAAGAGTCTTACCCAAGAGCTCTCGGAAAAGGCCGAGCAAGAGAAGAAAGAGCTCGTCCGGGAGATGGTGGAAGACTCCGCTCAAATCCAGCGCATGACCTGGGAACGACTGTTCCCCAGTGCCGACTTTGCCTCCTGGGAAAAAACGTACCGCCAGTGTTCGGAAACATATAATCAACAGATCCTGGCGGCTGCTGAAGAAGAGGCATTGGAAGGTGCGTTGGAGGAGGAAGAGCCGGTTGTGGCGCTTGTGCCACTTGGGGGTAAGGCATCAAAAGAGGGTGCAGCTAAAGCCGAGTCCAGCAAGAAGAGTG